GAAAAAAACACAAAATAGCGATAATTTGTATAACAATTTTTTTTAGGCAAAATATTTTAAAAAAGTGTAGAAACACGACACTGTAATAACATTAACGAAGCTCGAGGCCAAACAATTTAAAAATCCAAAACCTAATACAACCATTGGAGAGTTGATAAAACCAAAAAAGACAAAAAAGTACAGTCAATCTGAACAAGGAATCAGAGCTATGAATGAAGAAGAGATATTCCTTAATTTTAAATGATCTCAAAATTTTATAACAGTGACAGATAATTGGAATAAAACAATATCTGTAATTTCATGTCAGTACCGAAGTACTAGCTACAGGCTCTCGGGGACTATCAGTCCACCAGCAGTGATATCGACCCAGTGGTACTAATAACATTAACCTTGCCAATATTACTATACTGAAGTAATTTTACGAAAAACTAACAATATTATTATAAGATTTGAGTTTGCTGTACATCTCAATTTATTTGAAACAGACGTTTTATTTTCGAGTATTTATAAAAATTGTTTGATTTTATTTTCCTTTATCAAAAATTTTAAATCTACAAAAGCCTTGATAAACCTATTGACTTTAAAATACAAATAAGAAGATGTGGTCTGATTCGAGACAAAAACTATCCACCAAAGACCAAAGAACAAGGATTGAAAACTTTTATTAGCATAATCTTTACCGTAAAGTTTAGATCTTTTCACTAAATTGTGTGTGACTTTTTCAATGGCTTTCCTGTAAATCAATTTCTTGTAATATTGTGTATTTTAACATAATTGCTAGCTATAATTCATGCATTGTAATTGAATGTATCGACATTGGTTTTCTATCTAAGAAATTACCCGTGAAATTGTTAGTTGGAGGCACGTTTTAATAATATTTTTCTTCCGAAAAAAGTTTAAAAGTTTAAAACTCCAAAAAAATGATTGAATAATCTAAATAAATTTGGAGCGTTAAAATCCTTTGCCATCTATTTTAACCACCAACCAACTACAATTTTTAAGATGGTGATGTTCCTCTAGCTGCACCTAATGAGGTGTACTTTTCACAACTTACACTTTGCACAATTGTAGATATATATATGGTAGTCAATTTGAATTATAGACCCACTCTAAAAAATACAATATAATGGTCATTTTCAAGATGGCTGCCAATCAGTCCAAATTTCACAGCCATGTATAGATTGAAGCCAATAATGTTCAAATCAATTTTTTTAAAAGCATGTAAAATGTAATCCAACGTTTCTAGTCAGTCGTGACGTTATATCAGATTTTTTATTTTTCTTCAAAATGGCGGTAAATTTCAGAATGGCCGCAAGACAAGGCTCTGCTGATATTTATTTCTTCGATCGAGTTGCACTGTGCAGTCCAAACGATATTCTACGGATTGTGTTTTCATCATACATCGATGCTGCTTGCAAGACAATTTCATCAAAGACGCCATCAGGATTTGTTGGACCGTAAGGTACCATCTGAGTCACAAATGATAATGGATATGTTACACTTCTCCTTGCCACAATCTTTTCTTTTTCCTCGATTGTGGATCAATGATTAATAAATACGAATCATCACCGATTTTCTACTTGCAATGAGTAACACCACGCGTGCTACCAGTTGGTCAGACACTACACACCCTTCTAGAACACCTGCGTTGACCCCTAGTTTTGATGGGGGAAAAAAGGCCGACACATTTCCCCACCAAAAACTTTCACATGCCTATAAGATAGACTGAAACTTGTTAATTACTATAGCCATTTCTGGACAAGACACAATGTTCAAATGCTGTATTTATGCGATATTAACGATCAATCCGGTTGCCCAACCTTCTCCTTTTACAAGACATTCTACTCATGGTAAAAAAATAGGTGGGAGAGAAAAAAAGATTCTAAAAGAGTCTAAAAGTGGGAGGTGGGAGAAGGGTACCCCCCTGTCCACCCCTCGTTCCTCAGTAAAAATTATGTCAGTATCTTTGTATAAGAATGAGAAGTACACCTACTGTTACCTCATGGAAATGCAGTGTTCATGATGCATGAGAGTATCTAAAAAACATCTTCTGTTCATGAAGTACTATGTTTCCTTGATTGAACACTTGTTCAATTACTGTTTCTAACCAATCACATAAGGTTCATCAGTTTTTGGTGGGGTTCGTGTTGCTTTGTCTTTAGTTTTCTATGTTGTGTCATCTGTACTATTATGTGTATGTTTGTCTTTTTATTTTTGGCCATGGTGTTGTCAGTTTGTTTTCGATCTATGAGTTTGACTGTCCCTCTGGTATCTTTCGTCCCTCTTTTTCAATGATACCATTTCTACATGAATTCTTAAAACAAAACTACTCTTTGTATTATGCTGAAATATGTTTGCCCAGTTCCACTGCTCCGATTTGGCAAAGCAAAAAACGATTGATCTAGAGTGATAATTGAAACATGTCTCGGAAAAAAAATAACACATTACTGGATTGTATCCATGGAATGTCTAATCGTAGTAACAGATTTGATCTCTTCTTCAAACATTAGTCATTGCAGATTGATATACATTTTGTTAACTTATGTATACCACGTAAGGATAGAGTTGCACAATTGACTAATTATACCAGGTTGGTATACATGTATTTCTTGTTAGTCAATTTACAGAGTGCATGTTTATAAAACGGTTACTAGTATTATTGATGTAAGTATGAAAATCATGGTTATATTTGGTTAGTGTTAAGGATATATCTTATTCTATAGTATATACTATATACAGTTGTGCTGGTGCATAATATATTGGTTAAAGTACCAATAATATAAGGATAATGCATGTATTTCAAAGCATTAGGTTATGACGAATTTGCCAAGTAAGACTAAAAAAATGCTGAAATGCTTTCGTACTTTAGCCGTAGTTGAACTGTTGATGTTGTCAATATTGTCCACGGCTGTTGCTGTGAACCCACCAGGATTTGCGGAAGGATCCACATATTCAATACTGAATGTTTTATAGATGAAATCTTCTAGTACTGTAGATAAATGAATAATTGGATCATACATAATCGACCAATGTAAACTGTACATTTTGTCATTTAGTACCCCCTTTACTGGTCCTAGCATCCAGTAGAAGGGTTATATACATTAAGAGATGGTTCTAATTGAGTTTAATGTAGTATTGAAGAAGAAGAAAACAGAAGTTAATTCGAAATGGATAGCGTCGTATTTGCCTCAATGAAATAATTCGACTGCATCTGAATATTTGCCTAAACGATTATCAACTAATGTTTTTGATGACAGTGGTCAAGACTTTTGCCTACATCATGTCTTTTTGAACTACCTGTATGTGTACCTTTTTCACGTATCGTTGTCATACAAGCAGATTGTTGCGGTTGCCTGTTTAATTGCAACACCAAACTGATCATTAAACAGAAGCAAGCAACTGCCTTGTTTCTGATCATTAAACAGAAGCAAGCAACTGCCTTGTTAATGGCATGGTAAGCCTGAGATTATTGCAATTTTGTTTAGATTATACTATAATTATCCTCTTCCAATTGATCATAAAACAACTGTTCGAGTCGAGAAGTTTTCATTCTAGTTTAGTCTCGCTTAAATATTGGAATAATGCCAGTGTCTATACGTGATCCTTCGTTGTAGACTACTGTTCTGCAAGAATAGTACCGTAGTTACGATTTTCTATACTTTCCTCACAAATGTTTGGCTTTAGTACAAAAATGTGGCATACACTTGGTATCATAGGGCACTTAGTTATACTGAAGGTGCGTCAAAAAAAAACACTTTGTAACCTTAGATAAGGGATATTTGTTTATTTTGATATCTTATGGCAGCCATCTTGGAAAAAGCCGCCAAATTGAAATTTTAACTTGGGTCAATAGCTAATATTATTCGAAGCACCTAGCACTACTATCATTCCAAATATGATATAAGGGATATATTTTGATTTTGATATTTTATGGCGGCATGATATTGTCTTTTGTTGTTTAAATTTGTATATGACGCCAAAACAAATATTTGATTCTTTTCACATATTTTAGGAAGAATCACCTTTTCCGGTTAAGATATTAGTTAAATAAGTTTATATAACGGACCACTGCTCTTTGGCAAAACGTGGAAGTTATGATAGCATAAGACTCATTATGACCTACATGAAATATAAGTATTGTAATTAAAAGAACTGATCTTGAATGCTGCATGTGATACAATTGTGAAATCAAACATAGATATCTATATATAAAAAGGGGAGCTCTGGTATGATTGCCAAAGAACAAATATCCACCAGATTTCAAATGAAGTGACATGTTTACCACAGTTTAAATCTGAGAGTAATATAATAGTAGAATCAGTTTGAATTTTGCTCTAAACTGATAATGTATTTTACATTGAGTCTGTTATGGAATACATTATAATAGAAAAACAAAGGATATGGGGTATCCATTCATGACACAAAATCAGTTAATGCACAGTAAAAAAAAAACACACACAAAGCAAAGGAACAGCGCTTTTATTGTTGTTCTTCATCTCAAAGTCACAGTGAGGCCTTCAACACGAAGCAAAAAAAAACTCTCACCTCACTGCAAGTTTTAGACGGCCCCTAGCACCCGCTTGAGCGGAAGTCTTTGTAAAAATAATATGGATAGACTTTGTAAGATGTTACACCACCTAATCGGGCCCGGTCAAAAGAGAACATACTGGAAAGTAGTACATATTTTTAAAAAATAGTTCCTACGCATAAGGGTAAATCTTAAACTATGTAGCATATATTTTAGTAATTAAGGTATCAGATGAAAGGAGAAGGACTAGTGATACTTGTAGAACACACAATTTACTGATAACTTTGAATAATACAAAAATGTGTGAATGAATTCTAAAATTGAGGGCATATATAGCCTGTTTCTCAGATATGAAGTGCCAAATTCCGGTAACCAGTGAAGTACGTTCTGATGTATAAATACAGGTATATTGATCCCGCTTCCATATAATGTTATATATATTTGACCTTACTTTTATTTTTTTTTTATTCAGAGAATCCGGTCCTAAAATATGGAAAACCGGTCATTGCGATTATATATTTTTCTAAGTGACAAACTGGGAACCGAAGGTACAGTGAGAACAAGGCGAACTTATTATATAACACACAATTGTTTGACCAAAACAAAAACACACACGCCGTTTTTCTGTGGAAGTAGAGCAGAAGGTCTTGACATGAAGGGCAGTGACACTGACAAAGTTATCTTACTTAATGATATACATATTGTTGAAAAGTCCAACAATGATATCGGTTCTAATACATTTGTCATGAGGACTTGTGATACCAGACCGGGTTTTGCACAGTTAGAGTTGTGTAGTAGTTACGAATATACTGATGTGTGGTGTAAGAAAATAGGACATAAATTCTTTCTTTCTAGTAGTAAAATGAAGCAGAAATTACTGTCTTTAAACGAAAATAATGTGGTATGTACTCTTAACACTCTACATGGATCATGTGTTTCTACAGTCAATGAAACACATGACTGTACTGTAGGTTTAAAGTGCAAATCCTTCATTAAACAAGCGCAAGATTGGGTAAGAAGACAGCGATGTTGGCCATCAGAAGCATTAAAAAAAAAAATTATTGATAGTGGGGTATGGTTTGTCCCGATAGGCTACAAGCTGTCACCAACTGAAGATATAGAATGGCGAGTCGCGTTTGGCGTCGCTGAAAAACTGCTTGTGTATTCATTTACTCATACTCAGCTTCTAGTTTATGTTCTTTTGAAAATAATTTTAAAAGACGTAAATGAAAAAAATCCTAAATTAAAAGAGCTTCTATGTTCGTATTTTTTAAAGACAGTTGTTTTCTGGGTTTCAGAAGAAATTGCTGTTACAGAATGGACACCGCATAATTTTGAAAAATTGTTTTTGGAATGCCTAAAGCGACTTGAATACTATGTTAAACAGGATATCTTGCCGCATTATTTTATAAAAGAAAGGAATGTGCTTGAACAAAGAATCACTTTACCAGAATGGAGGAATTTAAAAACAACAATAGTTCAGTTGTATAAAAACTACCCTGTTTGTCTTACCTCTTCAAGTTTCATGTCTGCATTTTTCTGTTGTCCTCAATATGAAAATATATCACAAAACATTTTGCCTGGATTAAATGAAACGGGTATGGCTGACTATTCCAAATGTTCCGACAATCTTACCAAGCTTAATGAAGTCAGGTTTTTGCTTCTATGTGGTCAAGCCATCCTTACAAACAAACTTACACCTTGGCAAGTGTTAACTAATAGTTTTGGGCTGCTCAAGCGAAATCATGACCGTTTTATTTTCAGGTGTTTATTCAGTACGTTGTGTCGTAATATTGGTACCCGTTTTACCTATCAGTATGTCACCCGCTGTGGTAATAAATTACATTATCAACATTTAAAAGAGATGTTACCCTTCGTTTTAATGGGAGTACGTAGTGATGGCATATCAGGGTGGAATGTTTTAGCTACATACTATTATTGTGTAAGTGAATATTCAGTTTCACTAAAAATCACTGACTACGTGTTATCAAAATTTAAGGACGGTCAACAAGAGAAACTTTATTACAGTGAGGATAAGTTTACCGTCGACAATTTAGCGAATCAAACTCACGATTTTTTTTTAAACTCAATATACATAACTAATACAATGGAGCCAAACGATTTTTCTCGTAACTCGTTTTTAATTCCTGGTGAAATGAAACCTGAAGTAGAACACAAGGGATATATCCAGAAGCCGCCGATTGTGTACACATTATTTTTACGTTTCGCGTGTTTACTTAAGTTAGAACAGACGCAAAAATGTTTAGCGGCTTTAAATGAAATGAAAACATTCATTGAAAGCAATAACTATATTGGAAATCACGTCATGAAAGCAGAGTGTTACACCCTTCTGGGTATTGGGTGCTATCTGATAGGTGATTTGACCGAAGCAGGAAGATGCCACAGAAAAGCTTTGACATTAGATCGTTTAAAGCAAATGAAATATCTTAAAATGATAAACAGAATAAGATAAACAACATTATTTTATACATTACTCTGCTAGTAACCGATCGAACACCGTTAGGAGTATATTGTTATGTAAACTCATGGTATTTCTGCTCTTTTTAGAAAGCAATGTTGTTGTTGGTTTTTTTTTTTTTTTTTTTTTTAATAATTAAATTAAGTTCTTGGAGGAAATCTAAATGAAAAGGGTATAAAATCCATTATTTTGTCCTGTAATTGCAAAAATATCTTACAGTATTATGTTTATTTTAGTGATAAAGGATAATGATAATATAATAGCATTTGAGATGTCACTGTGAAATCATTTACATGTCACCATTCACATATTTGAACAAAATGGCATTTTTGCGACTAGTAGTTTTATGGGTAAATCAACTGTCTTACTTCAAAAGATGTTTCACGTTCAAAACCCTTTCAATAGAAACTTTGCGGCAAAAATCTTTTTAGTGAGGCTGTTGTTCACTTCTAATATGACCGAAAATATCTGAAATCGAGACTTTGGAAAGACTCTATATAATTTGGCATACTGTGACACCCTTGTGTCTTGTTGACATCTGGATGATATTATTTTATAGATTTTCAGTACTTTGTAATATTCTAATTAAATGGGCCAAAAGGTGAACTTATCGTTCTTTCGCTTTTATTTATATGAAATATGCTAACAGAGATTTACCATTTATGAGGCGCGGATTTAATCAAAGTTATTGCATTTAAGGAGATCCTGAAATATTTCAGTACCTCCATAATCTGAATTCCGGCTATTCATTAATCATCAAGGACCTCCTGAAATATTTTAGAACCTCCGTCATTCGATTGTAGTATATCCTGAAATATTTCAGGACCTACATGATTCTATTTTAGTATATCCTGAAATAGTTTAGGACCTCCACAAATAATCGGTCAGAATTGCTTTATTTTAGGAGGTCGTTGTATATTTCAGGATATACTTAATTTTCATGAAGCTTCATAATCATATATTTCAGGACTTAAAATTCAATTTCCGGATACTAGTATTCCTTAATCATTTTTGGAGGTCCACAACTATTTCGGGACCTCTTCAGCTTGATTTCAGGATATCCTTATATCGTTGGACTAAATCCGCGCCTCATCATAATCACTAGCTGCTAAAATAAAGAAACAAGTTTAGTTAGTGCCCATAGTGACAGCACTTATAACATTAATATTCATATTGATGACATGTAATGGATAACATATATTTACTCAATACGTAAGACATGTTTTAATTTGTTAAGAGGAGTCTATACTAATGCCAAAAAGCAGATATCACACAAAACAGATATTTGTACATGTACAACAATCACTAATTCCGTAGACATATATATTTATGTGTACATGGTTACATTTAAACAGATCGTTTTGACCTTATATATTGTCACGTTTTGTTAAATTAAAAGTTAAACTTTATTTTGTTATTTTATCAGAGTTTGTTACGGGCAAGGGATTTAACATGAGATTTTTGGAGAGCGTAGCACTCTCTATTCACGAGGCATCGGATGCAACGTCCCAATTCTGACCGGACGTGGATGCGTACTTGTATATCCCGCCGAAACAAACTTAATTACCTTGGCAAGATTTTTAATTTTCAATCAAAACTCTCCTTACCACGAAGCATAAGTATAAGTATATGGTCCTTTAAAACAAGTTTTCGTATAGCTAATAGCATTTCTCCTATTTTGCGTCTGTTTCATCTTCCGGAGCCACAGGCGAAAGCATGTTTAGTAACCGCTCGACTCTGTTCGTTCGTCCTATCGAAAGACCTTGGGTAGAGCACTTTCTTCAAACTTTTCTTGGCTTCTATGAATGGGAATGGTTTCATATTTTGTCCTCAGCTTCATAATGTTAAATTGAAGCGGGTAAGCAATTTTTACATCTGCCATGAAGCCACTTCCTGTTTGAAGATAGTTTGAAATTTAACAACACTCATTGTACAAGGAAACCTTTCGTCAACTTTTCTTGGCTTCTATGAAAGGAAATGATTTTATATTTGGTCTGCAGCTTCATAATGTTGAGTCGAAGCGGATTTGGCTTTTATGAAATTGAATGATTTATATTTGGTCTGCAGCTTCATAATGTCGAGTTGTAACGGGTAAGCAATTTTTACATCTGCAGTTCAGCCACTTCCTGTTTGCCGTTTGTTTAAACTTTTACAGCAATCATTGTACAAACAAAATTTTCGTCAAATTTTTTTTATGCGTTTCAATGGAAGGGAATGACCAGTTATACGTCAGCATACATGTAACCTCAATCAATTGCATGCATCAACGCGGTTCTATCCCGGTATTGGTCTTGTTTTCCATGGCACTATCAGGTCGTTTTTCACTTATGAGTTTGAATACCTCTTCCGTATCTTTGCCTCTCTTTTTGAATATCTTCTGTACAATATTAGTCAACCCGACAGTTAAAGGCTTTAAGCCCAGTAACTCTAGAAAGCCAACCCGGAAAATTAAGAAAATCCGGAAAGGAGGCTCCAATGTACCAATACCACCAACAGTTTAAAGTTTTATAGAAATAAATTTAAGCGTATTATAGTTATTGCGCGATTAGTGAAAAATTCTCTCAAATCTAACAGAACCGTACGGCATTACATCATCAAAGAATTTAAAATCGAAAGAGACTTTTTTCTGTCAATCCTGATGTATACCTTTTGTAGGAATTGGTAAAAGCAAGTTTTAGATTTTGTAATAAGAACTTGGGTAATGGACATTTGACTACGATAAACCATAATACGTCAGCATATATTGCCACAATTATGATTATATATACAAAAGAGATATATAACACCTTCTTCAAACTTAAACTACCACATAAACCACATCTTACTTAAAATTATGATACTGCGAATAACTCCAAACCTTTTGAGAAAGTTAAAATTTGTGGTATTTAATCTCGGATGTAATGCACGTTTTGAATATAGTTAGCTTTGATTCAACACTTTTCAATTGTATAACTAATAAGCATGTTAGGGTCTGCTATTTTCTCTGCATTATACTTTCTAGTCTTTGTGTTTTCTTTGTGTTTTCTGTATGAATAGTTATTTCAGCATCGTGAAAAAGGTTGTTTTATGTTTTCGGTGTCATGGTCATTTCTTTCCTGCTTGACCTCAGACTCATTTCTTTTATACCAAATATGAACATATTGCTTCTCTCGTTTTCCTTTAAATTAGTTCTTCTATATAGTTACTGTTTCTTTCTTGTGATGTTCTGCTCCATCATTTGTTATCTCATCTATAGTCTTTTGAGCAATTACACCATTTTTTCAACTTCGTCCTTTGCTATCTCTCTACATTGCAGCTGATTTTCGTAACTTCTTTGTTGACGACAACTCTGACTATGGGTTCGTCACCGTGATTACTAATTCTCTGTTCATAGTTCTCAATTATTTCTCTACATCTCTCCTCAAATTTTAGGCTTTTCCGTTAATACTATTTGCCTAAACGGGACGCAGAACCACATTGTGTCAGGGTTGCTGAAGATATCATATTATATTTTTTTAAACGCTTTATGCCGTCTTTACATCTCTTGAATTCCAAAAGTTTGGTTTTTGTAAAGTTTTTAAAAAACTTTGCATTTCCATGAGTCTTCATTTTCAAAGTCATTTGAGGTATTGAAGGTTGATTTATTTCGTCTAAACATTTTATTAAAGGTATTTGGGGATAAGACAGGGCTTCCCTATCAATCCTTTATGCCTTCAGTTTTACTTGTTTTTTTTGTTTTTTGGGTTTTTTTTCATTAGGACCATCCTTCTTTTAAATTCTTTTAAGTGTATGATACAGCTTATCTATCTTATTTTTACCTCCTCCTGTTAAGTTTTGTATTGTTTTATAGGCTTCCATAAAAAGGATTGCAAGCAGTATTGGATTTGTTTTTTAAGGCTTCCCTATTTCGATTTCTGTTATGATGTATGGTAAAGCTTCTCTATATTACATATATCTCCACTTATATTTGTAGTGTTATGGCGTTCTGAAAATATGTGCGAGTATTATTGTATTTCCTTTCTTTTTTCGGGGGAAGGAACCTACTATATTCTTTCTTATTATTTAACACAATTTATTTAGAATTTATCAATGTAAGATAAGACTCCCACATTCTACTTGTTTACCCTCATTGGTATCTTTGTCGATATGACGATGTACAAGTGGTTAATTATCTCTCTTGTAGATTGTTAATAACTGATAAATTTCTCCCTTTTTACTATTAACGGAAAAATAAAAAAAAAAATACACTTCTTCTCTTAGTAAATTCCTCCGTTATAGGAACACTCGTGTCACACGATATCAAAAGCCCTTAATAATAAATACTTATTTGAAGGAAAAAAAGTTAAGAATTGCAAGGGTTATCATACATTCCTTCATAAAATATCCCATGATTTTCCTAAAAATATACAGAATATTTAATGTAACTACCGTAATTGAATACTATTTACACCTATTAGTGCAAGTGATTTATTTAAATAGTTACTTATAGTTACTTATAGTTGATTTCCAGTACAGGACCCCTCAAGGTTCCTCTTCACCAGACTCATAATTTAATGTTTTTCTATTAGTATTTTGTCCGTGACTTCCGGATATTTCTGCTCTGTAGTCATTATAGTATATCTCTTCGTCTGACCAAAATTTGTCTAATCGGTTTTTAAATGCATTTGTTGGTGGTGACTTTGTTATTTTATCTGGTAATTTGTTCCAGGTTTTAGCAATTCTAACAGAGAAAGAGTGTTTACGGATATTTGTTTTGAATCTTTGATGAATGACTTTATTACTGTTGGTCCTGCTACTGAATCTGTGTTGAGAATCATCTGCCGTTCTTAAAAATGAGCTTACTTCTTTGTCATAGTATCCATTCATTGTTTTGAAAGTTTCAATCATATCCCCTCTTATTCTCCTATACGATAATGTTGGTAAGCCTAGTTTTTTAAGTCGCTCTGGGTAGCTCATGTCTTTGAGACCTGGTAATTGTTTTGTTATCCTTCTTTGGACACCTTCTATTTTGTCGATATCTTTTTTCCTGTATGGGGACCAGACTGAGCTGGCATAATCTAGGTGGGTTCTAACCATGGTTTTGTACAGTGGCATGAATGTCTCAATTCCCAAGTACTTAAATGTTCTTCTAAGAACTGCAAATATAGAGTTGGCCTTGTTCACTTTTTCACTTATGTGATTTTCAAAGGTGAGTTCTGAGTCAATAAGGACTCCTATATCTTTTTCCTCTGTAACTTGTGCTATTGGATGGTTTAGAAGACTATAGTTTGATGGTTGGTCAGTGCTATTAGATTTCTTACATATTTTCATATATTTACATTTTTCCGGGTGAAATTTGAGTAGCCATTTATCACTCCAGGATTCCATCTTGTTAAGGTCTTCTTGTAGAATTTGTCTGTCTTTCTGGGTTTTTATTATTCTAAAGATCTTGGTATCATCCGCAAATAGGTATGCATCAGAATCCACTTGGTCTGGAAGATCATTTATATATAGAACAAATAGTAATGGTCCTAGTACTGATCCTTGGGGTATCCCAGATGTAACGTTAGCCCAGTCTGATTCTTCACCATTCACTATGACCTTTTGTTTCCTATCTTTTAAGAAGCTTGTTATCCACCCTACTATATCTTCACTGACACCTAGATTTTTGATTTTGGCTATTAATCTTTTATGAGGTACCTTATCAAAGGCCTTCATAAAATCAGTATATATGCAGTCTATGTCTAAACCTTGATCTAATGCCTCTGTCCACTTATCAATCACTTCTAATAATTGAAGACCAGTTGACCTCCCTGCAATAAATCCGTATTGCTTTTTAGAGAATAAGTTGTTCTTTTTCATATGCTCTATAATAAATTCACGCAATATCTTCTCCATTATTTTGCATACTACAGATGTCAAACTGACTGGTCTATAATTTTTGGCTAGTGACTTATTACCCTTTTTAAATATAGCACTTATCATAGCATTTTTCCAATCGTTAGGTACTGTCTTACTTTCAAGTGATTGATTATATATTATACATAAAGGATTTGCCAATGATTCAGCGATCTCTTTTAGCAGCCTAGGGTGTAGTTTGTCCATACCTGGAGATTTATCTATTTTCAATGCATTTAAGTGTTTCAGCACTACTTCTTCCTTTATTTTCTGATTTGACATTACATTAATTACTAATACCGGCGTTGGTGATGGCACTACTCCGTCAGGTTCCTTGGTGAATACGCTGGAAAAGTATTCTACTAGTAATTTGGCCTTCTTGCTATTATCCTCCGTTTTATCTGATTTTGTGTCTTCTGGATCCAGGTGTAAATCCCCAATTCCTTCTTTGGTTTTAGTTTTTGACTTGATATAACTCCAGATAGCTTTTGGGTTTTCTTTAGCTTTTTCAGACAGATTTTTCTCATATTCCCTCTTCAACTTATTTACTCTACTTTTTACTTGATTCCTTATCTTATTGTATTCTTTCCTCACATCCGGGTCGTTATTATGCGTTATCTTTTTTGAGAGGATGTTTTTCCTTTTAATTTTATCTATGGTGTTTTTATCCATTGGAAAATTGTTTTTCCCTCTACCGATTTGTTTCCTTTCTTTTGTTGGTATATATTTTTTGTCCATATCTTGAATTATACTTAAAACTGATCTCCAATTTTCGTTTATATCATTTTCTTTCTGTAGTAATTCTGACCAATTAATGTTATCTATAGTTCTTCTTTTATTTTTATGTAGTTTCCTCTATTAAATAATTTAATTATTTTTGGTTTACTTTTAATATTTGTATAGCAACTAAAGTCAAATTTCATAGTGCAGTGATCGCTTTTTCCCAGTGGACTTTGGTATTCTAAATTTGAGATCATATTTTCCTCATTTGTTAAAATCAGGTCTAGGGTATGGGGTGTATTTGTACCCCTCCATCGTGTTGGTCTTGTAACATGTTGAAATAAGAAGTTTTCTTGTAGATTCTCTAAAAATTTGTATTCATTACTTTCTGTACTTTCACCTGGTGAATTCCAACTGTCCCAGTTTATTTCAGGAAAATTATAATCTCCCATTAATAGGATATGTGAGTAGCCTTTACTACAAGCTTCAGTGGTAAGCGTATTTAATTGTTTAGTGTATTCCTGTGATCTGTTTGATGGTGTTCTGTATATTAGGCCTAATAATAGCTGGTCTGACTGGTTTAAATTAATCTTAATAAATAAGTTTTCTTGGAATTCTGTATTCATTTGGACCTGTGATGCGTCCAGTTGTTTATCTATGTACAATAAAAGACCTCTGCCTGTGTCTACGTCTAGGTTTTTACCAAACATGTTGTAATCGGATACATCGGCTAAAGAATATTCTGAAATTCCTGGTTTGTACCGATTATTTTTAGGTTTAACCTCTGTAATACCAATTATTTTTGGTTTATCGTCTCTTGTTCTTACTGTTAATTCAGGCAGCTTGTTGAATAACTGATCTGCATTTGTGTATATACAGCTTAATTTGGGTAAAACTGTAAAATTATCTGTTTTTACATTTTTAAAAACCTTTTTACCATTAAAATTATTTACATTCTCTTTTCCTCTTTTATCTTTTAGGAGTCTAGCTTCCTTAATTTGACAACCTTCCTTGCCCAAGGTGGGCCCCTTACTTTGAAATGGTAGTCCCCCGAAATCTCTTCTTCGGTTTGTCTTCTCGCTTGATCCCACAATCTTTTCTCTTGCTCTCTTTCTGCTTGGGTTAGGTCGTTACTGACGCCCACTTTTTCGTATTTTGGGTTTGTTTTTATATAATGGATGTTTCTAAATAAGGTGATCTTAGGTTCTGCACTAGGTAATTTTACTAGGATTGGTCTATTTAGCTTTTCTTTGTTAAATTTCCCAAGTCTTTTAACCATTTTCAAATTTTCCTTATCCAGTTTTATTTTGCAGTCTGTAAAGAGCTCGTTTAGTTTTTCTTTGTCAGTATTATCTCTTACTTCTTTGCTTTCGTCATCTATTTCAGGGATCCCAAAGACGATCAGGTTATTTTCTCTTGCCTTTCTCTCATTAATTTCTTCAAGAACATTTGTTACAGTCTCCTTTCTTGTTATAGGATTGGCTGCTATATCTATCTCATTGTTTGTGGAATCGCTATCTCCTTTATTCTCGGGCTTATGTATCTTGCTTATTTCTTCTGTTATTATGGCTTTAACTTTTTCCTCATTACAACTTTCTTCTATGATTGGTGCCTCTATTTTGCCAACTTCCTCTTGTACCATCAATTTTACCATATCGTCATTGCAGTTTTTTATTTCCTCTCTAACAATCTCCTTGACTTTATCCTCGTCACATTTATTTTCAACTGTTTTTTCAAGTAATGTAATTCTTTCCTCATAACTCTCCATTATCTGTTTGCACCTTCTTTCTATTTCAATATCGGTGACTGCATGTTGTTCCATGACTATTCTGCATTTCCCACAAAACCACATTGCATCTGTTTTACATAGCATGCTGTATTCCGCTTTTGTTTTCTTTAGACAGGTTATGCAGAAATGTTCCTTACACCTTTGGCATTCCATAAGTTGAGCCTCTGGCTCCCTGAAGATTTTGGTACATTTTGCGCATGTCCACGCTTCATCCTCATCTTGACTTGTTTTTTGTGACGGTTTGGGGCCTGTGGTACTGTTTTTTCTGGTTGACGCCATACTTCTTACTTAATAAAAATAGGGCTTCCCTATTTTTTTTTTTTTTTTTTTTTTTTTTTTTACCTGACTGAGGAATTGTATAAGGCTTCCTTACACCAATTTATTTTGTAGTACTTTATTTTATTCTACTTATATTTAAAGGACAAGGCTACCCTATCCTTGTCTAAAGTTCGATTTCAAATGAAGCTAGACTATCCTAATTTTGACAGGGCTTCCCTATCACGTGTTTAATTTATTTTGGGACAAGGCTTCCCCATCCGTTTGACATAAACTGCACTCTCAAATGATAGAAATAGGGCTTCCCTGTTTCCTCAATAACTATCTCTCTTGACTTATTTTTCAGGACAAGGATTCCTTATCCTCCTAAAAAAATTTTAGCACTGACCTTTTTAATAAAAACAAGGCTTCCTTTGTTTTTATTTCTCCTTGTTGTATATATTCCTTTCCCTTACTCAGAAGACAAGGCTTCCTTGTTTTCTGTTCACGTTTTAAATAAAACTAGGCTTACCTCTACGTAATAGGGCTTCCCTATTACTTTAAAAAAAAATATTTTTTTTTTTAATTTTTTTTTTTATTTTAATTATTATTTCTCTGTTAGAATATGCTTTTTTGCTTTGAATTTGAAGACAAGGCTTCCTTGTCTATGGAACTGAAGTACCTATCTATAGAGTCAATATTTCACTTCGTTATGTACAGAACAGGGCTTCCCTATTCTGTCTTGCCTCCCCAATAATTTACTATGCCCAGACAAGGCTTCCCTATCTGGGTTTATTATATATATATATAATAACAGTTCCCTTTTACTTTATGCAACTGAAACAGGGCTTCCCTATTTCAGTGACTCCTCCTTAACAGGTTTCAGACACTTCTAGGGATAGCTCCACCATTTTGTAAACCCATAGTTTAGCTAGCGTTCTATTTGGGTGGATGCCGTCTGACAATAACTTATAGTTTTTCCTGTACCTCACCCTGGTTTTGTTTTTGGGTTTGTTCGATATTATTTGGTCTTGTGAAAATCTGGGTGCTCTATACTTCTTATTAAGTAATTTTAATTGACTATTATAGTAGTCTACTTGGTAGCACAGTTCTTTATCCAAGCTACTCGCTTGTGTTACTGATCTAAACCCTTTTGACTTATCAATTACTAATGCCGGGTAATGCCTCTTGTTTCTTTCCTTTGTTGTTACAATTCTGGTACCACTATACTTTTTCACTACTAAGGAGTAGTTTGATGGTTTTTTCTGATTGTTGTTTTGTTCTAATATGTCTTTATTTTTCTTCCCTTCTCTGATTGTTTTATTAAATGTGGAGATTGAATAATATGGGCATTCAAGAAAGATTATAGTGACATATTTGAATCTTGTAAGTATTTTGTCTCTTAGTTCTCTATAGCCTGTAAGTATTGACTCTATATTTTGATAGGGGTAATTTCTTAGGTATGTGTATTTTCCCTTTGTGGTAATCTCACAAGTTCCAAACCAGATTAGAATAATTGGGTCTTTTTGTTTCAGTTCTTCTAGTTTTGCAAAGAGGTTTTTTAAGTGCTCATCAGTGGTGGCTGTAGTTCCGCTCTTGGCTATTATGTGGAACTTGTCACGGACGCTGTCTGGGACCACTTTATCTACACTAAACCCCTTGCTGTCCGTGTAAAGCACGGTTTCTCTTGAAAGGCCCTGCCTTTTAAATAGGTTATAAACCCTTTTGTATTCTTTTATTATCTTGTTCACTGACATGAATTTCTATTGTTTATGCAATGTCAAAATTCGGATATACAAAATTTCAATTTCAAAATAAAAAAAAAAAATCCAATATGGCGGCAACAGGCCTAGTGTCAATGCACAATTTTCAAAGAGGATTTTTCACTATTCGTCACTAATTAATCCATATTTACATTTATATACAGTTATTTATGGCTCATTTACTGAAAATATTTGACTTATTTGACAACTGACTCACAAAAACACACAGAAAACTTATCTTTTTTTGACTTTTTGCAGGAGCAGAAAAATCTTGACCATGCCGACCGGAAGTCACGTGATAGTGCATATATATATAAAAAATCTCGGTTTAACCCCTGAATTCCTTATGAGATAAAAGTTTAAAAACTTTATTTTAAACACACATAAAGAGACCGTTTGTTTCCACTATTTTAAAAAATAGTTTTTGGTGCTTAGTATTACCTCCGACATTATACGTTAGATTAGAGAAGTCCGAATGGATTGTTTTAGAAAACAAAAACACTTGATCATGTGAGAAAATTGAAACAGAATAACTGTTGTTTACAAGAGCTGAATGTGTAATGAATTTAATGAAATTTTTTATAACTTTTCTAGCAGTTATTCAATTGAAAAACAAGGACAAGTTTGATTTCCCGACATTAACTGTAGCCTTTAGGTAGCAATAAACAGTTAGGAAAAAATGTTAAAATTTTCCCTCATAAATTTTACCATCCCCTTCTCATTGCCTTCTTGCAATATTAAGCTTACTGTTTGTGTCATATATGTGCATATGTATGTAATCAGAATCTTCCATAGATTTCATATCCAGTATATAAAATGGTAAAATATAATTTCTTTTTGGTGTATCCATGGCAACAATCTGCATTTTTTTGTTATAAAATATAGCAAAAAGAGAGGACAAGATGTCACATATTTTCCCAAAATTTGACCAAAAGTAGAATTTCAATCATTTGAAGTAATACCTTTTCTGAAACTGTTTACATATATCTTTCAATAAATCCAGTGAAAATCATATGTCTTTCGTCTCATTTTTTTGGTAAAATTGCGTCAAAAACTTCGTGTAGAAAAAAAGTGTTTGTGAACATTACATTAATTTCTGGACCGATGACCGGTCTAGCTATGAAAATACGGAGAGTCAAACAGAAAATAGCCCATAAAACATGTAAAAAATAATCTTGATGTTATTATAAACCACCTTTGAAGGCTCAATTAGTACTCAGCTGTCTAAAAATGAATTTTATTACACTATAACTTTCATATTTGAAAAATCCACCGGGGCCAAAATGCGAAACCAAACTCCTAACTGTGTATTGCTACCTTAATAGTAAATATTTTTTTCAAATTCTCCCTTTTAACTAATTTTCTGTGTTCTGCTAGCTAAAACGAGTAAAATGGCCTTTTATTTTTGAAAATTGGTTGAGTAATGAATATTTTTTGAAGGTTAGCAGTTGACACTGAAACGCGACAAAAACTGATTTAAAGAAAGGTGCCAAGTCAAAGTGTAAAATCTTTTTTCTACCTCAATTTTGGGCAAAATCGTAAAAACTATACCTCTTTTGTCAGTTTTTTAATGTTGAAAATCTTTATAAGACCTCTGATGATGCAAAATTGTACAAAATTTAACAATTTCAAGCATGAAAATGTTAATCTTTATGTTTAATGTATACCAAAGACTTGATTAAAAAACTTGGCAATGGGGAATCAATTTCTTACAGCTGAATCAACTATAAATTTAATATTTGTCAAAATGTAACATGAAATCTTGATAAAAATAATAATTTGATATATTCGCAAGAAAAAATACAAAACATTCAATACTTAGGCTACTACATACTGCACAATCCTTCAGAAGCAAGGGTTTTAGCAAATAGAGTACACTTATAAGCCTTGTGTCAAAATGTCTAATTTTGGTTGCTAAGGACTGTAAACAATAAAATTGACATGTATTGTCATTCTTAAACACTTAATCCCCTCAGAAGTTGATTTAGAATCTAAATATCAATAGATTTGTGGTATGAAAAGTCTTAAATTATACAATTCTGAGCTCGGTAAGTATGCCATAAGGTAGCAATAAACAGTTAGGAAAAAATGTTAAAATTTTCCCTCATAAATTTTACCATCCCCTTCTCATTGCCTTCTTGCAATATTAAGCTTACTGTTTGTGTCATATATGTGCATATGTATGTAATCAGAATCTTCCATAGATTTCATATCCAGTATATAAAATGGTAAAATATAATTTCTTTTTGGTGTATCCATGGCAACAATCTGCATTTTTTTGTTATAAAATATAGCAAAAAGAGGGGACAAGATGTCACATATTTTCCCAAAATTTGACCAAAAGTAGAATTTCAATCATTTGAAGTAATACCTTTTCTGAAACTGTTTACATATATCTTTCAATAAATCCAGTGAAAATCATGTGTCTTTCGTCTCATTTTTTTTGTAAAATTGCGTCAAAAACTTCGTGTAGAAAAAAAGTGTTTGTAAACATTACATTAATTTCTGGACCGATGACCGGTCTAGCTATGAAAATACGGAGAGTCAAACAGAAAATAGCCCATAAAACATGTAAAAAATAATCTTGATGTTATTATAAACCACCTTTGAAGGCTCAATTAGTACTCAGCTGTCTAAAAATGAATTTTATTACACTATAACTTTCATATTTGAAAAATCCACCGGGGCCAAAATGCGAAACCAAACTCCTAACTGTGTATTGCTACCTTAGACTCAACTTTTATTATGTCCCGGTTCAGTCTGTGGGTTCAGTTTCTGCAAATATGTATACAATGTGTATCTATATTTTCTCTCATTTGTTTCCTTATCTATTTCCTAAAAACTGGGACTATTACACATATATTACACTTATTATATATAAGTACTAGCTTAAGGTCCAGATAAATGGGCTAGTATATATGTATGTCACAGACACAGATTTTGCTAAAATTTTGCATACTTGGCTATAACTGAAAATCTAAAAGCATAATGCATTTATCTCTTTTATTATCTGAAATATTACTGATTAAATTCTTTCAAAATAGGTGAGCATTTGTATAGAAAGCACATGACATCGGTGAAAAACCTTCTTAAATTTGTCTTAAAATCTTCATATCTCTAATTTCTTATACCATGAATATATAGATTTTTCTTAAAAAACTGTATGTTGTTGATACATAAATTTCCATTTAATGATATTAAATGATTATATGGTCCCTGGTTTCGTTTTTTGTGTAATAATCAATATGTTACTTAGTTGGTAGTGAAAAACGTCAAAAATGAACGTTTTACAGCCTGCAACGCGATGACATTACAATCATTTTGACATTTTGTGGTGTTTTGTTCCACATAGAACACCACTTTGAATGATGTTTATTGTAAAAACGAAGTCGGTGACCCTATCATTATTTTACATCATAATAATAAAACGGAAATTTATGTATCAAGTGTTTGAAGGAAGTCAGACTCATATGAAAATAAAAGAGGTCGGCAAGGAGAGGCACACAGTTTGTTCCCATAGGAATGCCAACAATTTGTTAAAAAAGTCTTCCTCCAAATTCAACAAATATGTTGTGAAAAAGAAACTCCAGCATACTAATCACTTGTTCCTCTGTGTAGCATGTTTTACCTTTTTGTTCACTATTGACAATTTATAACGAATGCTACCATTTTTATATTGAAAAGCATTGTGGATTATTTCTTTTAAATCCTTGATCGGTACACTTCTAATATTAATCCAATTTTAGTTTTCACAAAACTTTGGTTATAACTACATGGACATTCAATTGCATAGAACATTAATTTGGGGGATTTCAATCCAATTTTGACTTTGATGATTGACATGAATGAGCTCACTTAAAAAGTAATGGAATTAAGAATTAAATTCTTTTTTTTTTACTATTTGTATAAATTTTGTTTTCCATAAATATTTTGATATGTTCTTTCTAAGCATATCAGGTATTGATTTTTTTTTTATAATTAGCTCATCTACTGATGTCAAAAAAGTTAAAGTAGTGATTAACACCTGTAAGAACATATGTATAATGTACATGTACATGTATGTGTCAATTATGACCCCACAGACAATAAAACTACTTGATCATTAATTTTTCATTATTTATGTAAAGATAAAAAAGTTTATAAAAAATTCTTTAATATCACAGTATACAACGTGTACAATTTAATCAGAAGTAATCATGATTACTTTGAAGAAAAGTAATCTAATGTAATCAGTTATGTATGAATTTTGGTGTAATTGTAATGTAATCTATTACATTAAATTAGCAAAGTAATTGTAATTTAATTGATTACATTTTAAAGTAATTGACCCCATCCCTGCTCATAAGCCACAATAAAAGCATTCGATGATACTGAGAACGTATGAATAAGCGAGATGTAGAGTAACATTTAATTAGAAAGTTTATAAAGAAAATAAATTAATCTATAATAATATATTCAGAACAGGCAAGAATGAAGTAGATTTTAAGGTATTTTATTTTCTCTTATTTTTTTCTTTTTCAGAGCAGTTAAAAATACCATTTCATTGGAGACAGTAATTTGAGGTTTGTTTCTATTCACAAAGTCTGAAAAAATTTGGAATCAAAATTTAAGAAAGCTGGACCTATGATTTGATTTCCCTTACATTAAACAATACACTTATTGTACATTGTAATCATAAATGTTTTATAAAAATCTCTCACTTAATGTTATGAAAGAAAAACTGAAATGTATGTTTAAGTATAATTATGAGAGGAAAGGGGGATAAGAAAATAACTTGATATTATTTGGGTAGTCCCACAGCTCCAACAAGTTTTACAAAAGGCTGTCAGACATAGGAGCAATCTCAGACTATTATTTGAATGCTTCGCCTTGAAAATTTGTATTGTTGTTATTCACTTTTTTCATGACATGTTATATATAAAGTTACATGTAGAAACAGAATATGTTCACCTTTGAAATGAATTCTGTCCTTTTATCATTTGTACAATACATACACAATGTACCACATCTTACAGAATATGCTTCTTTCTTCTTTTACTCCATTGTTCTATCATTGATACCATGGTTCGATCTGAATAGATTTTCAGGGGCGGATCCAGGATTTTAGGTTAGGGGACGCAAAACTTAAATTTTTTTGAGGTAAAATTCTCGAAATATTGTAGAGTATAGAGACAACCCATGCTATGCAAATTTTAGGGGGGGCGCATGCCCCCGCGGCCCCGCCTGAATCCACCCCTGATTTTATAATAGACTAATAAACATCGTGTAAATGTACCTGAAAGTGCTAAAATTTTAGGGAAAAGTTCTATTTTCAAATCTCATGGTGCTATTTGTAAATAATAGGGAAACACTTACAATTAAAGTCAATATTCTGAATGAGATGATGAAATAATAATTTCCCAGATGCACAAATATTTATCATCGTTCTAATATTACCTTACAGGCCCTCTTTTGAACAATCTAGAATGAAAAGGAATTATAAAAGACTCTATCAAAATAACGTTCTAGCATACTAACTGCTATATGTACATACTGCGTTAAAACCCATGCACTTTAGAGGTTATTCAAACTTTTTCAGATTGTTAAACACTTTGCAATTAACTACATGTACTTCAAATATCCAACGCAATCATAGGTGTGAACGTTGTTTTCAATTTAGACTTGAAAATAGTTATATATATATACATGTAAATTTTTCCATGTATTATAGGTCTACAGATGAATGTTACAGGGGAACAATTTTCTGCCAAAGTAAGAACATTATCAGACCTACCTGGAGCATCAAAAGAAACTACCATAGATAATACAGGTTCAGCCGGTATCATTCACCGTATTGAAAATAATACAGCTTCAATCAAATTTACTGGTACTGTAATTACAGGTCTATCAGACGAAGAAATTTCCTCTGAAGAAGAACAAGACTACTCCTTTAGAGAAATAGGACCTGTTGATGAAGAAACATTGAAGAAAATTAATGAAAAATTTGTTCCTGAACATGATGACGATATTGTGAAGTTAGAAATAGACTTGAAAAAGCGAGGTCTCAGTGACGCAAGTAAAGAGGAAAGTATTGAAAAGACAACAAAAATTGATAAAGGGGAATCACCAAGTAACTTTAGTCAAAGTAGATTTAATCCTTTTGATAGAGACTTGCACATGGAAGAAGATCATTTTGAAATCAATAATTCAAGACCTCGTTCAGGTAATTTTTCAAAATAATATCTTTCACTAACAAATGTTTCTGTAATATTGTATATCTGATTATACATTTCCAGACTTCCAATTTGTGCAATTTGATGTCTGGATAAAACTTGAAGCCCCCTCTTTCAAGTTATAAGATTATTGAAGTTGAAGAATCTTGAACATTCTCTGCCTGAACCATTAAATTGTTTAAAATTGATAACTCTTATTTGTCTCAACTTGCTGTAAATTTAGAAAACAAATATGTTTTTGTTTATGTCAAGAATGTGATAGGACTTGAATTGCAATCATTAAAACTTACATTTTTTTTCTAAAATGGACCAGGAATACCTTAATCCAACATTTACAGAAGTGCATGAATTAACGTTGTTTGATCGTTGTTTGTTACATGTAAATATTCCAAAAATGAATTCAGACAGTAAATTTCTATTTTCATACATTATCGAAAGATAGGTCAGATTTTGAAAAAAATTATTATGGTGGCTGATACTGTTATGCTCTTTGTAAATTTAAAAATGAGCAAAAGGTACAGTTTAATGGTTATGGGAAATGACCTTGAACTGAATGATAAAATTGAGAATGGAAATGGGGAATGTGTCAAAGAGACAACGACCCGACCATAGAGCAGACAACAGCCGAAGGCCACCAATGGGTCTTCAATGCAGCGAGAAACTCCCACACCCGGAGGCGTCCTTCAGCTGGCCCCTAAACAAATATGTATACTAGTTCAGTGATAATGGACGTCATATTAAACTCCAAATTATACACAGGAAACTAAAATTAAAAATGATACAAGACTAACAAAGGCCAGAGGCTCCTGACTTGGGACAGGCGCAAAAATGAGGCGGGGTTAAACATGTTTTTTGAGATCTCAACCCTCCCCCTATACCTCTAGCCAATGTAGTAAAAACAAACGCACAACAGTACGAACAGTAAAACTCAGTTTAAGAGAAGTCCGAGTCCGATGTCAGAATAGGAAACAAAAGAAAATAAACGAAATGACAATAATACATAAATAACAACAGACTACTAGCAGTTACTGACATGCTAGCTCCAGACCTCAATTAAACTGATTGAAAGATTATGTCTTCATCATATGAATATCAGGCACAATCTCTCCTGTTAGGGGTTTAGTATTATACCGTCATAAAATATATGAGAAGAACATAACCCGTGTCATGCCAACAACTGGTTTTAGAACAAATGTGTTTAATTCCGATGCAAAGACCCTTTAAGTGAATCAATATTAAAGCCAAAATATGCAATCTTTAATGACCTGACAACAGTATCGTAACTATATCCCTTCTTAATAAGTCTGTTTAAAGGTTTTGTTAGCTTTTGAGGTGAATACTGACATTTTTGTGCTTTGTAAAGAATATTACCATAAAAGATTGGATGTGAAATACCCGAACGTATAAGATGTCTGCATGTTGAGTTATACTTACGAATGATGTCCTTGTACCGATGATAAAATTTAGTAAATGTTTTGACTAGTTTATGATATCGAAAACCCTGGTGTAATAATTTTTCAGTAATATATAAATTTCTCTCGCTAAAATCTAATACGTTGTTGCATACACGAGCGAATCGTACAAGTTGAGATATATAAACACCATAAGATGGTGACAAGGGAACGTCACCATCTAAAAATGGATAATTAACGATAGGAAATGAAAAATCATCTCTTTTATCATAAATTTTTGTATTAAGCTTCCCTGGTTCATGTCATGTTAAATTTTCTGCTGAAGTAAAATTATTGGAGAGCATTTTGATGCGGTTTTTTCCATCTAAATTTCGAAAGCAAAAACATGTAGTTTGCCAAAAATGTTCAGTTTGATTTTACTTGTTGTGATGTATTACTGGTACTATTCATGAATTATGCTTTATGATTATATATGTAGTATAAAACTAAACAAAATCTTACTCAGTTCTTTGATGTGAAATTAGAGTATACAGCTTTTGACATAAATACATATATACTTTTCTACAAATTGTATATATATATTAAAGACCCAGAAACAGTTTCTTTGAATAAGTGAATTGTAGTATTGTATTATTGTACCACAGGATCCTTTTCATCATGGACCAATTTATCAGAGACAGGTGATGAAATCACTATTAATGCTGAACTTGGACTGGCTGAGGATCATTTCTCACATCCTGAGGTATATATATATAACTGCAAAGTACAGCCATGACAGTAGTTGTGATGTTAAAAAATTGACAAAAGCAAATAAAATTTGGAAGGTACTTACATGTACATGTACATATATATAAGTGGATAGATGCAAATACAATAGAAATTAAAAAGCAGTATTGCAAAAAAAGTGCATCATCATAATGTAGGATTTGATTAATGATTGAGGTATTAACATTGAAAAGATTTTATTTGGGGAGGGGGGTTGCAAAATTAATATCATAAAAATTGTCTAACCTACTCTAAGATAGAAAAAAAGAAGGTACAAAGGGGCTATAAAAACATAATAGAATAAAGACAGACACAAGACTAAAACAAAAGATTATGCAGTTACGAGAAATCCAATGTGCCGTATATATTTTTTGAAGGGACATTTTGGTTTAAGTAATCATGAAGAATTAGAGATGGCTATAGAGAATTGTAAAGAAATGATCAGTGAAGCACAGCCACACTCAGACCGAATGAAAAATCTGGTTCAGAAATTGATTCAGCTACGGCTGAAGTTACAGGAACTTAAGGTAAGAAGGGTAATATTGTAAATTTCCAATGTATAATGGAGTAGGTTCATGAATGGTCCATATTAGCCTTAAAATTCCATGACATTTAACTTGAGTAATAAAAATAAAAATTTAATGACAAAAATATGTGTAAAAGTATCTGACAAATTCAAATTCAACAAGAGTTGACAATTTAGAACAATTATAATGTCATAATTGTGGCCTCTAATGAAGAAAATCATAATTTGACACATTTTGTGCCTAAATTTGAATTATGTTTCAAACAACATTGACCACATACAAGGACCACCATAAATTTTGTTAGGATGTTTATCTGACCCATATACAACTTCAAATAAGTTTTATTTTGGTTGAAGGGTATGGTAAATGTTTTCAGAAGGAAATAAACCATACAAATGCATAAAAACAGGCTATTTGGCAAATTTTAGGACCAATTTAAGGCTTTTGGTGGCCATACTTCTTCCAAAATTCAACTTATATCTTTATAAATCATGTTGAACAGTCTCAGCACCATGTTATTAAAATGATGTTTCAACAAATTAAAATGTTTTGATCAATAGAAAAATTTCCTAATTTAAATCCTTTTCAGTACTCTACAAATGACAGACCTTCTCTTATAATACATTATACTCTTCAGAGCAAAATATATTAAATCATTATCAGTAAGCGACCAATGACAGGGCTTCTCTTATGATCCATTATACCAGTACTCAACCATCACAGAGCTTGTCTTATGATGCACTATACCAGTACTCAGCCATGACAGAGCTTCTCTTATGATCCATTATACCAGTACTCAGCCATGACAGAGCTTCTCTTATGATCCATTATACCAGTACTCAACCATGACAGAGCTTCTCTTATGATCCATTATACCAGTACTCAGCCATGACAGAGCTTCTCTTATGATCCATTATACCAGTACTCTGCCATGACAGAGCTTCTCTTATGATACATTTTACCAGTACTCAACCATGACAGAGCTTGTCTTATGATGCATTATACTTCCAGGAAGGACCGGAACCAGTATCCTCTGATATTAAGATTGTTCTGGGACACAAGTTTACAATCCAAGAAAGTCGCAATGCTAAGCATTATTGTGAGAAATGTAATGCAATGATACTAGGGGTCATTCAGACATGGCTCAGATGTGCAGGTATACTTATCTTTTATTTATACTATAAATACTAGTCATTCAAATCTGTTCAATGTAGTAACAAAACAATTAAAAATACTGTTAAAATGCAGTCTTATTTTCCATTCGAAATAATGCTTTTTGAAGGATTGTTTCTCAGATGGTTGATTTTTTATATTTACATCTAAGTATTTAAAGAAGCCATCCCAGTATCCAGAATAGCAGCCACCATAAAAGGAAATTTTATTATAAGACTCTACGAAAAAAATCTATTATGCCAATTTAACAGTTTACGTCAGAACTTCGAATTTGAATCAAAGAAAGTTTAATATCGTTTTTTTTTTTAATGTCAATCATTGGGATGGCCAACTCGGCAACTGATTACCATAATTGCCTTTTATTTATTTAGTCTTAAGGGATTAAAATCGGGATAATATATAAAATGTCCGGCTGGCTAAAAATAATTTTGGAAGCCCTGTATAAAACTACAACATATAGTATAAACATAAGGATATGATTGCCAATGACACAACTATCTACCAGACTTCAAATGAGGTAGATGTAAGCAACTATAGGTTACCGTAAGGCCTTCAACATTGAGCAAAACCTATACAGTATAGTCAGCTGTAAAAGGTCCTGACGAAATATCAAATTTCAGTCAACTAGTTGAATCATTGCAAGATTTTCTATTTTCAATATTATTCAGATGATGTGGCGTTCTGTTTGAACTATACAGTTTTACATTACTATAAGTCGAGTCAATATTATGCATAAATGATTCAACAGAATTTAGTATAAAAAATCTATTAAGCGTTAAGAATTAGAAAATCCAAGTATAAAAGTGGTAATAATAAACTGTTTATTCCAGATTGTGGTTACAGCTGCCATGAGAAATGTGTCAATGGCATCAAAAGAACTTGTGCAAGTTTAAAGGTAGTGGGGTTTTCGTTCATGTCAGATTTTTAAATGAGTTTTCTCCTATTTGAACAGATACCATTACAAAAACTATTATATCAAACTATTTTTCATTATTTTCAAAAGAAGTATGTTTTGAGACCAATTTGTTTCTCCAAAAATAAAAAATATCATTATTTATGACCTTTGTTATTTTATAAACAAATTAATCCTGTAAACTATTTTTCACCAGCGATTTATTTATGTGGATTTCGTAAGTAAAAATAATATGCAAACAAAAGTTATCTCCAATATGTCAAACTTGGGTCTTCCAGTAATATTAACATCAACAAAGTTAAAAATCAGGAAACTAAATTGCCTCAAAGTGGTCTACAAAGAGCTAAATGGGGAAAAAGCAGTTAGTTTACAATAATGGTTGAAGAAAATGTAATTTGCTGATATGTTTAATTACAAAATTTGTATGATTTTTATGTCACAAGTAGATATGCCAGATATTGGTATAAAGAAGGCTCATTTCAGGAACATTTAAGCAAATGTAACATAGATCACAAACATCACTCACAAAGATCTTTTAACAGCAGATACTTTTGTTAAATTAACTCTTAAATTTTTGTCACACATTTCTCTAGTACTATTAAAAACAGAATGACTTCATATTTGGTCAGCTGCTTGGTATTATGTGTTGAAACACTTGAGCACTTTTTGGATCTGTCGGACATCTACTCCCTGTCTTTTGATACTTTGAATTACAAGTGTGGTATACTTAGCACACATAATTTGATTTGTTCTACTTTAGGTTGCAGAAAATGGTATATTTTGTTTGTCAATATGCCCAGATAGGGGTTTATCAGCTCAGAACTACAGATGTGCTGAATGTAGAAGTCCAATTTCATTTAGTAAGTTTGAATTATAAAGTAGATATCTTATGCCTATCAATATTTTATATTATCGCTATTTTACAAATTTTTCCTTTGATCTTGCTGACTGATAATTTCCTTTCTCTGTGGAGTTGAGTGATATGAAAATTATCGCTAGAAACTAAAGGAACATGTGCCGTTGTCAAGGAAATTAACAATGTCTTCATAGGTAAAATAGCGATACACAGATTATCATTGGTCATCTCAACTCGATTGCTTTTCTCACTTTCACCGTAGCGGCTCAAGCGAGAAAATCAATCTCGTTGAGATAACCAACAATAATCTATAATTATAACTTATACGATGAGTGACAGATAAGCTCATAATTCATGATAAGTAAATTTAAAGAATAATTTACTGGTATTACATGACTTTGGTCATTACAATTGAAAATAAATTTTTCCCTTGTATGCCTCTCTGAGCTAAGAGAAAAATTTCAGTCCCACATTTCATAGCATATTAAGTTTCATTGCTTTAATAGAATTGAGAATGGAAAGTGGGAATGTGTCAAAAAGACAACAACCCGACCAAAGAGCAGATAACAGCCCAAGGTCACGAATGGGTCTTCAGCGCAGTGAGAAAATCCCTCCCCCGGAGGCAGACTTCAGGTGGCCCCTAAACAATAATGTATAATAGTTCAGCGAAATGGGCGCCACACTTAACTCAGAAACATATTAGTATTAAGAATTACCAACCAAATAAAATATTCTGTTGTCAGTTTATATATGAAATGTGAATTTTCTTTTTTTTTTTCAGAATGTTAACGTACAAATTAGTTTTCCTGCAAAATCCATTGAGTGTGTAGGTAAAGGTAATATCTTTGACTAGCTTGCTTGCTAGCTGAACCGTGAAGTCATTATTAGGTAAGGTATACTACCCTCCTTTCAGAGTAGTCTAGTCCTACAGACAGATAGATCGGTTATCTGTCGGACTAGTCTACTCTTAAAGGAGGGTAGTATACCTAACCTAATAATGACTTCACGGTTCAGCTAGCAAGCAAGCTAGTCAAAGATATTACCTTTACCAACACACTCAATGCATTTTGCTGTCAAAGTTTTGTATGTCAATATGTATGTATTTGCCAGAATACATTTATTCATAATGACGATAAAAAATATCAATTATTATATAAAATTCATATTTAATCATAAAAACAATATATTAACTCCAATGAAAAGGTGTTAACAGTTTTACATTATATTTTTAGAAAGTGGATTCAGTGAACCACGACTATGTGATTACAGTGGGAACTATTATTGTGAACTTTGTCACTGGAATGATACTATGGTTATACCCTCTAGAGTTCTGCATAACTGGGACTTTGAACCACACAAGGTATTATCTACTGTCTCTCCACTGTAAGTTACAGAAATAAGTGTAAACTCCAGCTTCATATTTCAATGATAATGATTTTATTTGTTCTATTATTTCTAATCAGCATTAACACACAACCAGGAAATGACCAATCAGATAGTACCACTTATTTATATGTGCGTAAATTAGGAGGCGAAAGCATACAGATTTACTTTAAACACCAATAATTTTAAAATTCAGATTTATCTTTAAAGAGTAAGTTAATGTTGTTTTCCTTAAATTTGTCTATTCATACATACAACATTATAACAGAAATATTTTGGATATAAATCAACATCTTTCATATTTTTACATCAATGAGCAAAGAAATGTGTGTTGCTGTAAGGTTTAAGTAATTCTGATTAAAAGTGTTGTATCTTGATCAATATCTCTGAATCCATCATAGAAAATCACAATTTTCATAATACAACACTGTATCATATTGATACATTTAATTTAGCTTTTTGTTTTTCAGTATTTGACAAAGTATGACCATAATCAGGACTATTCTGTTTCTATTTTTGTTTTGCAACAGTAAAGATCATTTTATTGGATTTTATTTGTGGAAACATTCTCACAAAGATTGCTTGTCCACCCAAAGTTTTGAAGATAGAAAATTTTAATTTTGCTGGGTCACTGTACGTAAACCAAGGGTATGCATATTTGTTTGGAAGAGGAAAATTCTAATTTGAAGTTATATATAACAGGTTTGCAGAGCTTCCAAACAGTTCCTTAAATTGATGACAGACAAAGCTGTGATGAGAATCCAAGATGTTAATCCAATGTTGTTTAACTATGTGGAAGAATTAAGTGAAGTTAAGGTAGGAAAATAGGTTGTATGTTGATTTTAAATGACATAACATAACAAGCTATAAATGATAAATATCCAATATCAGGTTTTCGCATATTGAAATTTTGCAAAAATATTTATTGAAAATTTTATCATTGATTCATCATGTATTTGTGTGGTTTTCATGATAAAAACAATAAATTTAATTTTCTTTGTTATAAAAGCTAACTTTAAGAATATTGTATCAAATTATGTCAGGTTAAACACATATGACATCTCCCCTGTGTTGGGAGAGTTTCATGCTCTCTGCACATTAGAGAACCATTGTACAAAATTTTTGGCATTTTGCAATACAAAATTTCTGCCCTATATAGCTATAGTTTCTACAATGAAAAGTAATATTTCAATTGATTTAATGTCAAGGAACAGTAAATTTGGCCATGTCACAGATTTATCAGTTTACATCATTAAAACGGAAATTTGTGTATCAACAACATACATGTTTATTTTTTAAGAAAAATCTATTGATTTAAAATTGGAGATTCGAGGATTTTTAAGACAAATTAAAGAATGTTTTTCACAGATCTTATGTGCTTTCTATAAAATTATAAAAAAAAATATTTTAAAGAATTCAATCAGTAATATTTCGGAGAATAAAAACGATAAATGCATTATTTTAGTCTCGTCTGTGATGAAAGTCGCAGAAAGCGAGACATTGCTTTTCTGGCGACAGCGTCAACAATTGTTAAGTATTCTGCTTAAGTTAGTTTGATAGGAACAACTTGTGATAGATCATTGATATTTTGTATGAAGATGCATTACTATCAGTACATATCAGTTTGACGACAATTTTGAGGCCCTGCCCTCTATAGGCCATGATCCAGTGACTTTGAACTAATTAGCAATTTTAAATGTTAAGTTTTCTGCTTAAGTTAGATTGATAGGAACTACTTGTGATAGATCAATGATATTTTGTATGAAGTTGCATTACTATCAGTACATATCAGTTTGACAACTATTTCAAGGCCCTACCCCCTAGGTTATGGTCCAGTGACTTTCAATCAATTAACAATTTTCAATGTTAAGTTTTCTGATTAAGTTAGTTTGATAGGAACTACTTACAATGACAATATTTTCTATAAAGTTACATTGCTGTCTGTACATCTCAGTTTGTCAACAATTCTGAGGCCCCCCCACTAGTTGGTCCAGCGACTTTGAATTCATTAGCAATGTTGCTGTCCATCAGATTGTCTTTTTCTGAATTTTATGCCAACAGGCGAGACATGTCTCTGTGTCAACAGTTATTTTTGATATTCAGTTATAAAAATTTTACCAAAAACTGTACCATAGCCCATTTACTGTAACTTGACCTTAATTAATGATATGGAAACAAAGAACTTAATAAATTTTTTTTAACTGAACAATTAGAAAACAATTATGGAATCTAAAATAAAAACTTTTATAGTACCTTAAAATTTTTCAGAAATGATACCGATATTTAGATTGCAAGGAAAATTTACAACACTTGTTTAGTATTATGCTAATATTTTATTGTCTATCTCTGGTGTTAAATGTAATTCTTTCACACACCTTGATCCAGAGAGACTGTTATGAAAAGAATAACTGTGATAGATTGGCTTAAATATTTTTTTAATCTTATTTAAATCTAAGTTTGTTGTATTTCCACCCTCCTATTTCTTAGGACAAAATACTGTTAAACGTCCAATTTAATAATAACTGATTGATTTTTTTCTTACTTTCAGAAATTACGCGAAGAATTACTGATAATGAAAAAATATCTCTTGCTTTGTAAGAATGCAATGAGTGAGAAATTTCTTTTGATGTTAAAGGGTAGACAACACTTTGTTGAAAACTCAGATGTGTATTCGATGCAGGATTTCCTAGATATACAATCAGATAAATTGTTAGGAGATTTAGCTACAATCCATTCTGCCTGGGCTCAACATATTAAAACAGATTGTGAGGTGAGTTGTGACATTAGGGAATCATTGTATTTTGCTTTTTTGACTATCGTGTTTAATTCAGAATTCAAAGTTTAAAAAAGCAGAAATATAAAAATAAAATCAAAAACCAGATATGGTAAATTCAGAAATTTTTTGCAATGTTTTTATTAATGCAATTATGGGATAGTTCAGGTTTCACAACACTAAAAAGTCACATTCTAAATTCAATAGCTTTTATTTAATGCAGTATTTCCTGGAATCGCAATAGTTTATCTCATGGTTTAGTCTATTGTTCAGCAATGGCAAAAATACATGCACACAAAAATTTCTGAATTTGCAGTAACATTTATAAACGGGTTTATAAAATTTAAGTTAAAAAATAGAAAGGACTTTATTCATATCCTCTCAAGAGGTTGATTTTTTTCTTATCCCAAATTATGCCACAGTGTTATTTAGGTGTGGTGGGTTATGTATTGTTTTAACTTAATCAGTATGGTGAGAGTATGGTCTATGTTGCAAGCTTTCCCTTCTTTTTTTGTTCTGGCTTTGCAAATTGTTTGTGTAATTGATACTAGGCTATCTATACAGATGTATCTTAGAAGAAATTTTCAAAAGTTGCCTTTTTAGCTTGATTTGTGGTACCTGTTATTACTTGGAGAAAAAGAATTTAAACGGTGTTTAATCAGCTATATGCAGTGTTTATATCATATCCATATTGTACATTTAGAATAGTACATACTTGTAGGAAATGAAATATCAAATCTTTATCATACATCAATTTAAGTCAGCCATAGGGTAATAAGGGAAAAGAAATCAGTAACTTTCAATAAGAAGTTTACTTTTCCAATCACACTTTCAATAAGAAGTTTACTTTTCCAATCACACTTTCAATAAGAAGTTTACTTTTCCCATCACACTTTCAATAAGAAGTTTACTTTTCCAATCACACTTTCAATAAGAAGTTTACTTTTCCAATCACACTTTCAATAAGAAGAGCACTCCAATCACACAGACTCTTGTAAAGGGTCTTATGTTTGGCTTTGAGATTTGTCAGCTTTCAACTTTTTGGAGGGATTTGTATGTGGCCTGTTGTATTTCAATATTTCTGGCATTACTTCACATTCCCTCATTTTCATATGGTACTCTCACTCAAAATTGAAATTTATCTACCTAGTGGAACCCACTTTCAAAAACTTTCTAATTGTCTTTTGTCATTTGTATGCCGATATATATTTTTCACTATGCATTCAGTAAACAATAAATCAGTTAGATATTATTGAATTTTTCAGCTATGTCGAGCTAGAGGATTTATTTGTGAGTTGTGTAAAGACCATACAGAAACATTATTTCCATTTGATAGTGTAGCAATAGTGTGTTCACAGTGTTCAAATGTATTACATAGGTAAGCAATATAAAAATAGGATATGCGAATTAATTGCTGATTAGACAACTCTCCACCAGAGACCTTATGACGTAGAATGTTAGCAACTATAGGTCACCCTACAGCCTTTAACAATGAGCAAAACCCATACTATATAGTAAGTTTTAAAAGACCCTGACATGACAAATGTAAAACAATTCAAACAAGAAAACTAACGGCCCGATTTACCCCCCATATGTAAAAAACAATATATGAAAAAACAAATATGATAAACAGCAACAAACAACAACCACTGAATTACAGACTCCTGAAATTCTACCGTAATACAAACCAGTTGTCACAATTTTGTTTGATAATGTTAGATTGGTTTATAGTAAATTGATTGAGAAAACCAAAAAAATTACTTGTCTTAAATTGTTTTCTCAACTAATTTTCAAAAGCAATGGATTTTTTAGGGAAAAAATGCTTAATGCATTGCAAAATTTCCTGCCAAAAAAAAAGGTTAAGAAGGCAAGATTCTTGTGTAAAAAAAGAAACTCACAACCTGATCAGTGTTATTGTAAATAAGTATGTTTTAATGGAAAAAATAAGTTTTTGTTTAATCACTGATCCTCAATTTGCAAATGTAGATAAAGTATTTGATTTGCTGTGACTTCAGTATCAATAAGAAACTTCGTTGGTGTTTAAATGGCTTTGTCCAAAGAAAATTGTGATGCTTTGCATTATATATAGTATATATGGCTTTAAATGAGAAAGACGATTGTAATGAACAAATACATATTTCACTAAATTGATTATTTAAGCCTAGCAAATAATATACGCCTCTCATATTCTTCCAAACACATGCTGCCATAACTATCCTATGAATATTTTTTAAAACATGAATACATTTGCACAGGAGTGTCCAAATTTAGTGAAATTATAAGAAGAATATACATTATCTTTTCGACTCCCTAATATTAGTAGAAAATTCAAACTTACTACATGTATAAACCAATTTTGATCTTTTCTTTTCTTTTTTATCAGTCAATCATTTTGCTTTTGTTTTTTCAGGCATTGTTTTGTCAAGAAGGGATCTCAGTGTCCAAGATGTGAAAGGAAAAACAAAAGGAAAGCTAATTGACACCATTCCATTCATGTATACTGTATACCAGAAATTCATACAACATATTCAAAAATGTGCAATAATTGTGAAATAGAATTCACTTGTTTCCTAATCCTGTTTGTCTTTCAGATATATTTTTGTAATAAAATGTAAAAATGTTTCCTCAATATTTGGACCACTGGACGTTAAACAGCCATATGTCATCATCATTGTCACTATTTGGTTAGGTTAGAACATGAGACTGTTTTGCAGTATCTTTGACATTAGGTACCATTCTACCTTTATTATAGTTTTAGATTAGACAGATTTTAGAATAATCAGCTCTGGTAGCAAATGCTGTTTGGTCATACATTCATCTCTGTTTTGAAAAGATGGTACTCTGTAAAGTAAATTATTTTTTTAAAGACTGTTTATTATTATGTTGGTTTGCTCAATTTCAGCATGGAACATCCTTAAATCTAAGGTTGTTGGTTTTCTGTTTTGAATTGTTTCCGATTTTGTCACAATGTGTCCATTTATAGATATAAGAAGATGTGGTATGAGTGCCAATGAGACAACTCTCCATCCAAGTCAAAATTTATGAAAGTAAACCATTATAGGTCAAAGAACGGTCTTCATCACAGAGCCTTGGCTCACACCCAACAGCAAGATATAAAGGGCCCCAAAAATTACTAGTGTAAAACCATTTAAACGGGAAAACCAACGGTCTAATCTATATAAAAAACGAGAAACACTTATGAACCACATCAACAAAGCCTATTATACAGAATGGGTTTTGCACATTATTATTTGCCATGTTGTAGCCTGTAATTGTTCATATCTTTGTCATTATTGGTCTGTTGACATCTTCTTCTGGCAATCTTACCAAATCTCCTTATCTTTATGCTGACTTCTATTATTAAACTATTTTGGCATCAAAATATAAAACTTCATGGTTTTACTGGTAAGAATAGATATCATTTGTTGGATTTAATTACTCTAGTTTGCCCTTTTTTGATCTGCCATGTTCTGTTTTACAATTTATTTTTATTTTTTATTGGTCCAATTTAATATGATTGGTCCAATTTAATATGTGTACAGCTATAGTCTAATGTTCTTAATCTTAAACAGTAGTATATGGGAGCTATTTACTATGCATTTTTCACACTGATTCTCAGCTTTTTCATATTTGTAAGGACCAAATTTCTATTTGATTATGATTCCAATGATCAGTGATTCATATGTACTGTTAAAAGGTAATACAATACCTTATTGCCTAACCAAAAACAACAGGTCAAAGAAAGACAACTCCATGGGCAAAGGAAAATGCCTTACTAAAAACAACAAGTTAAAGAAAGACAACGCCACAGTCAAAGGAAAACGCCTAACTAAAAACAACAAGTCAAAGAAAGACAACTCCTTGGGCAAAGGAAAAAAGTCAATATTACAATCAAGTCCATATAGCACCACAAAGATAATAAACTGTTATCACAGAGATATGTCTCGCCTTTTTGTAATTTTGATAATGCAAATGTTGAAATTAAAATAGCAATACTTTAACATGTAAGTTATGCAAATATTCAAAGTCGATGAACCATGACTGAAGGTACATGGCTAAACAATCTCCATGGAATGAGATGTGCCAATGCTAATACAACTGCATACCAAATACCATTGACTTATTATAAGTCGTTCCCTTTAAACAAACCTAAACACAAACATTAACTTGTAAACTATGTAAAAGTTTCAAAGTCAATGAACCATGATCAGGGGTAGGGCTATATAATCTCCATGGAAACGATACTTGCAAATGCCAATAAATTTGCATACCAAATATCATTGACTTAACATTAGCAGTTCATCTTAAACTGATCTAATCACAAACTAATACATGTAAACTAAGCAAAAGTTTCAAAGTAAATAGACCATGACTGAGGGGGCGGGGCCAAATATTCTCCATGGAAATGAGATGTGCTAATGCTTATACAACTGAACACCAATTAACATTGGCCTACCACTAATGGTTCCCCTTGAACTGACCTAATCACAAACTAATACATGTTAACTTAGCAAAATTTTCAAAGTCTAGAGACCATGACTAAGGGGGCGGAGCCAAATAATCTCCATGGAAATGAGATATGCCAATGCTTATATAACTGCATACCAAATATCATTGACCTACCACTAGTGGTTCCCCATAAATTGACCTTATCATAAACTAATACAAGGTAAACTATGAAAAGTTTCAAAGTCAATAGACCTTGACTGAGGGGGCGGGGCCAAATAATCTCCATGGTAATGAGATGTGCCAATGCTTATACAACTGCATACCAAATATCATTGACCTACCACTAGTGGTTCACTATGAACTAGACCTAATCACAAACTAATACATTGTTGACGCTGCTGCCTCGGTCGCCGACGCCTGAAACAGCATACCTATGTCTCGCTTTTTGACTCCGTCAAGGCGTGACGAAAACCAAACTGAGTATTGCAGGTAAAGTCGGCCACAAATTACAAATGCCAAAAACTGGGTTAATGTAACAAAGCCACCAAACCACCAGAACTAAGCCTTTAGAGTGGATTAAAATAAAGAGCCATTTACAGCATTAAAATGAGTTGTCATCACATAAACAGTTATTCTGTATTTATTAGTTTTTATTTAAAATCTACCAGTAAATAGTATCTAGTTATGTACATGTCAACAAAATATTAAGATAGCAGCAGATTCACTCTCTATAGTACTGATTTAAATATCCAGTACTCGGTATCAAACATAGCATAAAAAGAGTGCACACACTGATCTCTTAATAGATACATGTAAAAAAAAATTTGGCCAAATTTTGGGGAAATATGTGACATCTTCACACCCATTTTTGCAATATTTTATAGCAAATAAATGCATATTTTTGGTATATTTACACCAAAAGAAAATTATTTTTCACCATTTTAACTAATAAAAATCAAAGTATGGAATATACTGATTACATACATATGCACATATATGAAACAACCATTAAACTTACTTTGTAAGTAACCAAGGAAAAGAGGATGGTAAAATTTATGAGGGTTAATTTGATTTTTTTTCCTAATTTTATATTGCTAAGTAAAGATAAAGGTTTTACTACAAGAATCACATAAACTTACCATTATCAATGATCCATGACAATGAGGTCAAGGTCAGATAAACTCTTGACAGACAGACGTACATCTTACAATGTCTTACAATTATGGTACTGGCTACGGTTACATGGAAATGTAACAATAATATAAAAATTATTGTTACATTGGAGACTAATTACTGGAATGCAGGGTTGGGTAAGGAACTGATTAATTACGAATGTAACAATAATATTTTGGTCTACGGTTACATTGCGTTATTGTTACATTAAAGACTGCAATGTATGATAGATTTATTAAACTTAAACCTTCTATAGTTATGTTGCTTAATTCTTCGATATGTACGAGATAATATTAATAATAATATTATTATTCAGCGAATAAGTATTGATTGTTTTGGTGTTGTTAAAAATCATGACTACTACAGTTTACTTCAATATCACTATTGATGAATACTTAATGAACTGTTCAATAGAGCATGTACTGTCACGACTGATGAGATCACAAAATATCTGGACTCCGAAAATGAAACACTGTTTCCACCAATTTCAATCTGTCGGCAAATGTCAACATTAATTGCTTTCACAATTGACTTGTATTTAAACAACCTAACATGCTTCCAAAAAAAAATATTGGACGAAAATGTAAACATCGCAAGAGTAACAAAATATTTTTCACCTGAAGCATGGCATTCAGACATTGAAAGTTTCTTAAACTTCATAAAGAGAAAATGCAGAATGGAATTGTATGGTATGCAATATAGAGCGTGCACATTGCCGTATCACTGGTTTTTGATGGCTGCTTAGAGTGGTTTCACCGAAAATGCGTCGGACTAAAACATGCTCCAAAAACAACATACTGGATTTGTAGAAACTGTCATTGTAAATAAAAAAACAAAATATTGTATGCAATATTGTAAATATCAAATAAAAGTTTTCAAGTTTTATTTTAATACATATTTATTACTATTCCCATCGTACATTGCAGTGCGTTAATGTAACAATAACGCAATGTAACCGTAGACCCAAATATTATTGTTACATTCGTAATTAATCGGTTCCTTACCCAACCCTGCATTCCGGCAATTAGTCTCCAATGTAACAATAATTTTTATATTATTGTTACATTTCCATGTAACCGTAGCCAGTGCCTACAATTATTCCATACTCCAAATATAGGTGACATGTTGCTTATAGTATATAAGAAAAAGACTGGCCAGGATATATTAACATTGACTAATGAACCATGAAAATTAGGTCATGGTCAGGTGAACCCTGCCAGTCAGACTCGTACACCTTGCATTCAAATCCTAACACCAAATATAGTTGACATATTTCTTATATTATGTGAGAACATGAACAAACTATGTAAATTTAACATTGATCAATGGAACCATGAAAGATCATGAAAATGAGGTCAATACACAATATATAGGTGACCTACTGCTTATAGTATGTGAGAACCCGGCCTAATAACGTAACTTTTAACTTTGACCACTGATCCATGAAATGAGACCAGGGTCAGGTGGACCCTGTCTGAGGGACTGTACACTGCAAGGAACCCATACATCGAATATAGTTATAATATCTTATTACCAATAAGTGAGAAATCTACATGACAAAACAAGACTACCGTATACATATTCAAGCAGTCACTGCAGATTTTCTGCAGAACACTTTTTAACGTTTCTTTCTCTAAATAAAGTAATTGTATCGTATTTGAAATATGATGCGCTATCATGATACAGACTTTGGTTATGATCTTCATGTAAACATTGAGACTATCTAAAACATTGGCGTAGCTTACGTTGAGGCAACCGAGGCAGTTGGCTCGGTAAAAAACAATATAAGAAAAAATAAAAAATAAAAAACTTTTCTTTATAATCTTTTAAACAATTTTCACAAAATGCAGCAGACGCGCTACTAAACGCTAATATACCGACTTGTATTGTCTTGTTGCCGTGATTGATTCATACCCTTTGCGAGTTCAAGACTTATGGAAACATTTCCCTCCTCTAACTGGAAACCCCGATCCCTTTGCGGTAGTTTTCACTAATCATAA